AATAGAAGGTAAGAAAAGAGTTACAAAATAGGGGACAAGATATCCTCCAATGAAAATCCCAAAACAGAGGAGCACAGTGAATTAAGAGAACATCGAATCAAATCTGTTAAAGGGAAAAAAAAGGTTAGCAGAACGCCAAACTGAAGAAATGAACACTATCCTTTAATTCCTTTCCTATAACATTTCCATACTCACGGAAACCTCCAAAAAGATTCAAAAGTTCCTTCCTGACTAAATGCACCTTGGTATTGGGAAACTTGCACATTACCGCAGTACTACTGTTTTCCTTCATAAACCTGTAAACCTTGCAGTAAGAAAGCCTTCCAAAGATCAAGGACGCAGCCTATGTTCTCCATATACACCAAACTGTTTATTCTGCAAAACGGCAGCTGCTGGAATTTGAAAAGGATGTGGAAATGTTTCTGAACTATTCATTAGAATGACACGTATATCGGGCAAATAGCTGTTTTGGGCTTTAGAACCTATAATAATCCTTATTATTATGCTATAATCCTATAAGGAGCTGCAGCCCTGACAAATGACTGCCTTCAAAAAAGCTTTAGATTTTTTTTTTTTTTTGGGGGGGAAGGAAAGAAGCTTTAGATTAAACTCCCAATTTTAAAGAATAATTGACAACTTGATATGCTTAAAAATTAATTATACTCTCTTTTGTCATATTTTGACTTCTGTTAACCTAAACAACTATTGCTGATGAAAAGACTGACCTATTACTGAAGTTACAAATATACGGCACTGTTTTTAATGCTTGATATTGAAGGTTTGAAGTGTTTACTTGCAGGAGTTCTATAGTCTATATATTCTGTTCCTATGGAAGTGATTTGTTGTTTACCTATCAATATGCATAATCTTTCTTGGTAATATAATTGGCATCTTCATGATAATTTCTGGCACAGTGGCACTCACTACAGATTTTTCATGTTGACAGATTGCGTTTGAGGATGTATATGCTGCATGTGATTCTGCCACACTTGAGCAACTTAAGGAGTTAAGCTCAAGACGAAGAGCAATTGAAGAATCTATTAATGAGAGCAGCTATATTACAGAAGCTATAGCAAGGGAAATGTCTGGAGGGTTGGTATCTCGTCTTGAACAGGTAACTTCATGTCCTTTCTGTAAGGAATCTTGTGCTTAGCACAGTTCAAAAATGCCTATAATCTTGAATCCTTGATTTCAATTTATTTTTAGTTATCATACTTGCAAATTACACTCTCCTCAAAATGAAATTTTACATAAACATTTGTGGTGAATAGTTCTGTAAATTTTTTTATTGTTTTGTGGTACGAATGCCTTTAAATATAATTATTTATGAATAATAACTTAAGGAATGACCTTATGGAATTGGAACTTATGTATTTGTATGTTTTTCTGGCAATTGCACAGTATGAGATCGTTTACCCGATCAGAAATGTTGAGACTTTTGACAAAATTGGAATGACTAGTATGTGCCAAAATTTTGAATTTCGAAGGATATTGATGGATTTTCCCCATTCTGTGTGAATGCCATTTATTCATTTTATTTTGGTCTGTTTCAGGATCTTCACAGAATAACACAGTATCTCCCGTTATTGGAAAATCTAGTTTTACATAATGAACAAATCAGCAATTACAAAACCTATCAATGGGATGCCTCTCCTAAGATACGGTGGAGTAGTGCTCTTAGTCCATCTTACTTCTTTAGGAGTACAAAGTTTTTCCAGATTGACCATTTGCAATTCGAGCTTGGTATGATCCTTTTTCTTTATGGTGCAATCCTAAGGGAGAGGGCTTTAGAAGTTCTATCAACAGGTATGCATTAAGATTCTATTCTCCATGATGACCTTACTTGTTCTATTGATTACATTTATTTATACTGTGTTTGTTTTGTTATAGATTTGGTTCAATCTGCCACCACATTTAGAGAAGCTGCTGGCATTTATCATCACCTGGCACTTAATGTTCTTCCCCGCTTAAAGGCTGCAGGGGCATCAGAAGTTCCACCAGAAGCTCTTACTTCTGTCTCCACTGCTATGAGCCTCATTTGTTTGGCTGAAGCACAGGTTGGTGTCATTGCTGCTACTTTTTGTTGTTTCTACATTATAAGTTGCTCAGTCATATCTTGAAACTTGCTTAGTTATATTATTTCTACAGTACTTTATTGTTAATTTTCCCATTTGATGGTGGAAAATTTTTAATTGTAATAGCTGATAACGTGATAGATATCTAATATAGGCAGTAACAACAAGGAGGGCTGAAGGGAACGGCAATTCTTCAAGTCTTTTAGCAAAGTTGCATCATGGTGTTACAGAGTTTCTTGAAGAAGCAAGTGGAGTTTTAGAGACTTCTGTCAGAGATGGCAAAGACATCGCACCAAACTTAACGGTATTGTTACATATTTTCTCTGTTAGAATTTACCTCTCTTTTTCCGTATTGGTACAAATCTGTGTCGCTATCTCAATTTACTTCACTGCATATATTTTACTTGCGCTAAAACTGAAGTTTTAGTCCTTATCCTAATGAGCTTGCTCAATTGGTAAGGGCTGATGGACCCATGTGTGTAATTCTTCCAGAGAGCACCCTGTATGCCCTAGCCTTTCAAACTACGTCACTCTTATATATAATAACATCACATTTATTTTTTCATTTTCTTGAATTTTAATTAAGGAGAGGCCACTGAAGGAAATTGGATAACATAAATTTTTTTCATTCATGTTATGTTCATGATAATATTTTGTTCTTTTTTCTCACTGGTAGGATTTCTCTTACGCAGGAATTTATCCAATGCTGCAAAGCCCTACATACGTTGAGAGGTCAGAGATACCATGCAGAAAGTCTGAAGGCTTCTGGTCAAATAGGGGCTGCGATCGGGGTTCTTCAATCTGAATTGAGCAAGATCAAAAAGAAAATACGAGGTGAAGCAAAATGGAAATCTGTGATTGAGGAGGAAATTCTTGATGCTTCTGAGATCCTCCAAAAATTTGTACGCGAGAACGATTTTGTCTGGCATGAGAAAATCCCCTCAGAAAATGAGTTACCACTGCCCCATGGTAACAAAATTGTCAATTTGATACCTTATAGTCCCAAAAGATGGGAGAGACACCTTTCTTTTAAGGTGATGAAGTAGAGGAAGGTTATACAAGTTATAGCTTTGTCTGTCTTTGCCAAACACGTCTCATCAAGAAATGATGTTTCTTACAATGTTTTCTCATAAATTTGGTGGGTTAAAACTTTTGACTGGATAAAGTTCTATGAGAAAATTTGTGTAAATTACAACATGCGATTGGCTCCTTGAATTTAGAAGGGCGAAGTTCCCTATATTCCTTGCAATATGTGTGTTCTAATTTGAGGAGGACAATCATGTAAAAGGGAAGAATTTGTTAGTCCCAAACTCACCTCTTTTGACAAAACAAGTTAGCTTGCGGAACGTGTTTTGACTCGTTTTACTGGTCTCTGAATAAAAATTGACTTTTAATCCCAAAAAAAAAAAAGAAAAACAAGTCTATTTGCGGCGAAGCAGTTGATGGTAGGTGTATGAGATTTCAAAACGTTTTTTTTGGTTCCATTGTGAAATATGCTTTTTTTTTAAAAAAAAAAAAAAAAAACTCATATGGGCTCTATCTTTCTTTTGAATAAAATGTATGAGAATTTACGTACAATTTAAAAGAAGTCACTGTTAAAATTATTTAAAAGTTCAATTTTTTTAAAAGAATTCATAATGTATAACAATTTTTGGAATAAATCTTTTAAAAAACAATCGTGGCAAAAAATTGTATTAAAAAATCAATGCAGAAGAAGTTTGAGCACCACAAAGATATTAAATATTATCCATTAATTGATATGTAAGAGTTAGATAATTTTGTTATGTAAATAAAACAGAGGGAGTAGAACACCTTTTTTTTCCCGCCCTTTGTAATCATCAAAAAGGGCTAATCCGAAGTTAAAGGAAACAATGAAGGACATTAGTCCAGACAAGTCTTTTGTTTTTTCTTTTTTGGGAAAAATTATCAATTGGCTCTGGGTAAAAAAATTTAATTCCATTTAATACTAATACTTAAGAGATTTAATATTTACAAGTTAAATATTTTTTGTATTTACAAGTCAAACTCCATTATTTATAAGCCAAATTTACAGATTAGTATTAATAAGTTGAAACTATAATTGCAAGTCAAACCTGTATATTTACAAGTTGAAACTATACTTACAAATATTATGCTTTTTAAGCATTACTATCTCTGCTCCTTAATATAAAAGTTGATTATAGATTGAGTTTGGTTTTAAATCTAAAATCTTAATCTATTTTATTTTTAAATTTTATAATTTATTCTTTAACCCCGTATTTGGTACGAGGGAATTGAAGGAAAATAGAGGGAGAAAATTTTTTAACGAGTTAGGGGGTGTTTAGAAGCACTCAAAAGTACTTCTTCCGCAAAACAAAACAAACTCCTCTATATATTTACTTCATACACCGTAAAGGCACTTTTAAAATCATGATTTTGATTCCATCCAAATACCCCTAAAATATAAAATTGAAGAAGTGAAATTACAAAATTTTGATAAAGAGAAAAGGTAAAATAAAAGAGTAATCCAAATTAGTCCCACTTCTCTGTATAGTAACCGTATAAAATGAAATTGGGGGGTGACAGAAATCTGTCTATATTTAATTTTGTAAAACTTATGGGTAATTTTTTTAACGAAAATTCAAATATACTACCTTCGGTCCTAATTATAAGACCTAGTTAACTAATTTGAGGAAATTAAGAAAGTAAGTTAAGTTAGTTATTTGTAATAAATAAGTATTGTCATTCCTAAAATATCCTTGCTAATTAAATATATTGGCTAGAACTATTATTATTAAAAGAACTATCTTAAAAAAAATACATAAATATGAAAGATAAAATAGATTGGAGTTTTATAATTAGGACTAAATTAAAAATCAAACGAGTTTAAAAATAGGAGGTAGTATAAGGTTAGTTAGTCCAGACACGTCCTGAAGCAGGGAGAACTCCGTGTCAGTAGGAGACTGAGAGCCAACAAAACGCTGAGGCTCAGGAAAATAGCGGGTCTGCATGACACAAGTGGCTCATTCATAGTCAGATATCAATCATCGACGGAGCGAATTGAAGGCGGAGTTCATTGAGGGTGGTGCTTAATCGTTCCCACGGCTCTTTGACTTCGCTGGCACGCAGCTATGGCCTCCACTATACACTGCAATTCGCTTCGTTTGAGCAGACCATCTCACACCACAAGACCCTTGACCACCTTTTCCTCATCGAAACCTTTGGTCGCAAGTCTTAGCAATTCGGTTTGTGCAAATTCGAAGGCTTTAAAGACATCGACTTCCAGGTTAGTCTGTGTTTCTTTCTGATTCCTTTGAGTTAGAGTCAACTAGTAATTTGAGTTCTTGACTTGTTAAACTAATTCAAACGTGTCGGAAACTAGGAAATGCTCTTTACTGCTCATCAGTGATTTTATAATTAGAGACGTAGAAAGGACTTGCATATAACTAGTTCGTTAAAGTTCAACTCGTGCATTTATCAGTTATTGGAGATTAGAACTGAATAAGTCTAATCATTCATGAAAACTAGGAATAGTAGCGGGATGTAGTACTGGTCAGTTTTTTCAATATCCAAATTCAAGTTCCGTCCAATTTGTATTTTAAAAAAAAAAAAAAAAACATTTACTCTTCTGATATCTGCGTTGATATCCCGAAAATTTCATTCAAAAGCTATAATGCTTCATCGAGTCTTTGAGTCTATTTGATTGGTTTAATAAGTAAACTTAAGAATTTAGTTTTCTGAAATGTTAGGCTAATTCAATTTTAGATAGCATGTTAATCTTCTAGATAAGATTCCCAGATAGGCTTGTTATTTTTCAGGGTTAAATGTGTAGAAATAGTATACTCGCTGATTCTTGGGATGGAAACTAAACGAGTCTAACTGCTCATGCTGAGATCTTGGTCATGGACGTTATTCTCAGCATCACCAACAACCACAAGTTTTATCTTATTAGGTGGGGCTGGTTATGGCATGAATTTCACAATACCATTGTGCTCTATGACAGCCAAATATTTGGATAATTCTCATCATGACATAAAAACTAGCCAAGTCTTTCACATAACAAAGTTAGGCACCTTTGAAATTTATAACCAGGTAGCTTGTGAACAGGCGGAATAGGGTTCTTTCTGCTGTTGTATCTGAAGAAAATGCAGTTGGATCGAGTTTCTCTGATACTGATGTCTTCAAATTGACATACTTAGAGGTGGATTACTGGTTCTTGATCTTGTTCTAAATACATCATGGATTTAACTACTTGGAGTTTTATTTGACATGGGTGCAGTATTTATCTTAGGGAAATAGTTGGTTGTGGAATGTAGGCGGTGCAAATATTTTGGTTGATCCAATTTTGGTGGGCAATTTGGATTTTGGAATTCCCTGGCTATATGATGCTGCTAAGAAGCTTCTCAAAAAATTCCAGGTATGTTTTGATAAATGCTAGATGGTTACTAACGGCTTCTTTGTTAAAGTTTCTGTCCTCCTGTTAATGGCTGAGCTTATTCTAACTGAATTACTGCTATACTGCAGCTTAGTGATCTTCCTGAAATTAATTATTTACTCATCACACAAAGCCTTGATGATCACTGCCATTTGAAGACCTTAAGACCCCTCTCAGAAAAATCTCCTAACCTTAAAATCATAGCAACTCCCAATGCCAAGGAATTGCTGGATCCTCTTTTCAAAAATGTAAGTGTACTATATTCATCAAACATTTTATTTCTTGTGGTGCTGAAAACACAAGTACATATGTTCTAGGAATGGAACTTGTAGCTTACTTTGCCAGCTACATTAATCATGTTATTCCTTGTAGAGTTTTGTGTTCAATATTTCTATGGTTAGAGAAAGTGCTTATCAATGAACTAGTTTTGAACTTCAATTATCTAGATTCCTTGAACGCACGCATGTTAGTGGGATTAACAGTTTTTAAATTTATATCATTAAGACTCAATGAAGATCTGCATTATTCAGAAGCCATAATTATTCTTTACTTCCCTACCTGGCAAAGCATTTTTTTTCGTCTGTCCAGAAAAGTAGTTAAAGGGAGACTGGGTGCCTCATTGCCTCTGAACCTCGATATTGTTGATTTGATTGTCTTATGTGATTCTGAACATGACAATTTTCTCGGCTTAATTCAGTCCTCTTCTTTCTGTCATCAGTTTATTATATATGAACAACAGCACTTCATGGATAAGTTTCCTCCAAGAACATACAATTGTCTTGTGCTACTTGCTTTCTATCTGTGCATCACTGCACATGTTTCTCGGTTCTTTTTTCCTCTGATCACGTGTTGTTTCTTCATTCCCCCATCTCTTTTTTCTGGGTTTTTTGTTCTGCCTGTTACTATTTACCTTTATATTTTAGCATGCTTTCATCTATCTCTTAACTAATTATATATGATTTACTGGATTTTTTTGCAAAATCCCTCTTTATCACACTTACATTTGCACTTAGTTTTTCAGGTAACATATTTAGAACCTGGACAGACCTCTGATATTGAAGCAAGTAATGGTTCTAGGATCAGAGTTAAGGCTACTGCAGGGCCAGTTCTTGGACCTCCTTGGCAACGCCCTGAGAATGGGTGAAGCTTTTCAGAACTTTTTTGCTCTTCCAAATTTATGTATAGATCTAATTTCTTTATATTTCCTCTTGAATGGTATTCATTAAAGTGATTATGTGCTCCATGTGCTGCAGGTATATTGTTGAATCCCCACAAGGTCAATTGACTCTTTACTATGAACCCCATTGTGTATACAATCAGGGTTTCATTGAGAAGGAACAAGTAGATATTGTGATCACACCAGTTATAAAGCAACTTTTGCCTAAATTCACTTTGGTTTCTGGACAGGAAGATGCTGTGAAACTAGCAAAGTTGCTTCAAGCCAAGTAATTTTTTCTTTAAAAGACGACCATCCAACTGTTCTTTTAAGTGCAAATGTGTCTTCTTCTTCTTCTTTTGTGAGAATTTTCCAGTATTTAGTACTATCAATCTGGACTTGAGCTACTTTGAAACCCAAATAGGAGGAGTTGTCACAATGTGAATTTTCATATTCAAAATAACCAAATCTTAAGACCTTGCTAATGGTGCGTCAGGTCTCTTCCACTCGACCAAACTGTTGGTCTTTTTAATTCATGCACTAACAATACTAAATCATTCATCAGCATTGTTTCTTTACATTCCATTAAACCATAACATTGAGGATATTTGGTTGAATGGAAATTTTTAGGTCTTTTTAGGCCTGAAATACTTGAAGTATCACATAGATTTGATCTTCAGTTGAAATAGGTGATTCTGATCAACTATTAATTTTATATCAGGGGCGTGACTTTATCTCTTAGCTCTCTCTTCTCTCAGTGTGTCTCTGTGTGTGTGTGTGTGAGACCATTTTTTCTTTGTGTTATAGGTTCATCGTGCCAATGAAAAATGGAGACCTAGATAGCAAAGGGCTTCTTGCAAGCCTAGTTCGGGCAGAAGGAACTGTGGAATCATTCAAGGTTTGAGTTATTTTGCTAACACTTTATATTTTCTTTTGTTCACGCAAAATAGAATATTTGTGTAAAACTGGCTCCATGCTATGATTTGGGATAAGCTAGAAATTAACTTGGCTGTAACTTGTTAAAACATTGTTTCCTTTCAGAAAGATATTAAAAGGTACTTGTGCCGTGGGAATAAGAAGTTGCTCAAGTTTGTGACAAAGCCATTTAAAAAGTTCACTAGAATTCATTGGCAAAAAGTTTGACAAAAGAGAAAGAAAGAAAGGTTTACAATAATTGACCTTCCTATGCTTGTTCAGATTTTATTAAATTTTCAAGGAGATTTTTTGCCCCTACGTGTGCTTAAAATGTCAAATTTGATTACTTGTCTACAGTTTCTTTCAAATCCGTTCTAAATTCTGGTCTTCTTAGCATAGAGCTGAGAGTTTCCAATTAACTTTAGCTTAAACTCAAATTTCTATGTACCTACCTTCAATCTTTTTTGAACTTGGCTATATTTTGCCATTTGAACCTAACCCTCCTTGCGTGTACCAAGTTTTGTATAATTAAATTATAGCATATTCTAGGGTATTTATTCGATGCTTCCATTGCACATTTATGAATTACAATAATTAAGTTCTCTCACATTTTGGATGATATTGATTTTCATTCCCACAAGAACAAGGACGCAATTAACTTTCAATTCGTCGTTTGGTCAGTGGTAGTTCTTGCACCGTCCACTAGTGTAGTTGGAAAACAGCTTTAAGCTTTGTCATTTAGATGCAGTTATTGCTTTCTCAAAAATAGCCATCTATTTTTGAAAATGGTTAAATATTATGCAGGAGCTCTTATCAAAAGAGTTGCCAGCAGCAAAGGTTTTAGAGCCCACCCCTGGAGTGCCGCTAGAAATTTCAGCAAATTCAAGCCTACAGTAATGTTTTCCTCTTGCCCAAACCTGTAACTTCAGGATGATTATAGCTAGCTGATGGTCAAACATGATGTAACAAAGACATTATATATTATGTAATTAAAATAAAATGTTCGGTATTAAAACTTCTTGGGTTTCTGTTCTATCTATAACTGAAAAGCCATTGGTTCTCCATAAAAGAAAACAATGCTACACACACATATATTGTCTTGACAACTCAGGCACCATTTGGATACTTCAGTGGACATGACAAAGGATTCCATTGCACAAGGACCGAGGCATGGACATGACTGGCACTATAAGGATCGAGACTTGTTATTCATCATATGTTGTTTTTATTATTCTTCTGTCAAGGGTAAAAATTACTTTTTCATTTTAAGAATTACCTTTTTCGTTCCCGAATTTCAGTCTATTCCATTCTTTGTAGTGCCAGTCATCCACGCAATTCTCCTAGATAACATGATGGCAAATCCTTTATAACTTCACTTAAAGGTGTATCCTCATTTAGTCAACTACGTAGTTTTATTTTGTTTCACACCTCTAATTAACATGTTTTAGCTAAATTTCCTTAATCAGCTTGAGCACAATATTATTCCTTATGAGTAATGCTGACTGCTTGAGAGAGATTGCATTCAGCCTAGGCTTAAACTCTTGGTAGTTTAGATTTCAGATGTTTCAAGGCAAAGTTTAATTAATTAGTATTCACATGAACAACAAACCTTCATGATGTATTGATCTGACATGACTTGGTATCAGTGAGAAATAATAATCAGAAATGTAGATAAACTCGATCAAATGCTTGCTGTGACCTTTGAAGTTTCTGGAATGAATTAGTCTTTCATATGACAGTAGCCAGCTTGTTAGAAATTTTATGATTGTGCTCTTGCTCGACTAGCCTAGAATACTGAGTCCAATTTTTGTTATTCTGAACATTATCCCCCAATGGAGGTGGAGAACGCTCTTGTTTTGTTTCCTTTGGTGTACTTTCTTCTGTTTAATTGAATGAAGCTTTCCAATATTATTCAAAAAAACATAAATAAATTTGAGCTTTTTAACCCAATTTATTTTGGACAGAAGTTTTTTAACCAGAATGGCGAGTTATACTAATTGACTATGTGATCGGATCGGTGGAATGAACTTGATTTTCTGTATATAAGATAAGCAGTCGAAACTTTGTAATTAAGAAAATTATGATAAGAAAATGGAGCTCCACAATACATGATCCTAGAACATCATATACCAAATATTTGTTTTTGTTGGGCATTAGGTACATCTCTCACCAAGTATTCAAACTTTAACTCCTCATTTTGTGAGAGATTATTTTTTTTTGGCTAGAACCAATCTCTTTCTTTTGGCTGATACTAGCATTTGAACATGGAAGAGGGGGTACATTTTGCAACTCACCATGAAGGCACTACATGCTTATTGCACACTTCTATTTTGAGTTTTTTTTGTTTTTGGCTAAAGAATAGGTATCCTATTATTAGAGATAATCCTATTTGAGGTATTGTCAGGTAATAAATATGGATACCTCTATTAGCATGGACTTGAATCTTAATTCGTTACGTTATGAAGAACTAGACTTTTCTACTAAAAAACAACCCTTGTTGGTTCCCTTTTTGGTTTTACATAAGTGGCTTTTACGAGTAACAATTGGGCAGCGTTCGATGTGCAGAAAAAGAGAACTTCGATTTTTTTTCCCCAATAAAAGGGTTACTCAATGGTATTGGGCCACGGAGAGTGATAAGCCCAGTGAAAACGGGGATGAGCGAAAGGGTCACATAAAAAGCCAATAGGCCCAACTCATGCCAAGATGTAAGGTGGCTGTTACATACGGTATAATAAAGTTAGTACTTGTGCCAAAAAGAAAAGTTGGTACTGTCAAAAAAAAAACTGGACAGCTTAATAATGGTCAAGGCTTCCTTTTGTTTTGGTCCAGTCAAGGCTTCCTAAATTGGTCCTGAAGTTTAAAGAGCAAATCACACTTTGATATGATTATATGAGTCTAGTCTTTAAGAGACTACCATATGCTGACTTCCAAAAAAGCATTTTTGTCAAAAAAAAAAAAAATTCCATCCACTGGCTATGAAATGATGATAAATTATATTCATGTTAACAAAATTCACAAGATGGTTTCTGATTAAATTGATGGGGCATGATTATTAGGACTTGCAAATTAAATCAATTGACACAAATCACCTTCCTTAAAAAAGAATTTTAAGCGTGATGTTGTGAGTCCGAACTATTAATAGAAAGTATCAAAAATATAATGAACATGTGGATTATGAAAAAGAAATTGATGGGGCATGGATATCTTAAAGAATTAAATAATGGATTATTCAAATTTAAATTTATCAATATATCGAAGGATATAAATGACTGTGCTCATTGTTTGCGGGGACAAATCATAATTCATAACAACCCATGTGATAGGATCACTCCTTCAAAATCCAAACTATTTATGATTCAAAAGTTGGGGGGAGGGTGAGAGTTCCCCAAAATAAAAGGGCATGCATGGAAAAATATATAATATTATTATTCCATGAAGTGCACTATGATTCAAAAATAGAATATAATTTTTTTTTCCAGTTCAATTTACAAATTTCAATTCCTTTTGCTAATTCTTATTAGGTTGGCATTCTTAAATCAATTTTAAAAAAAAATACTTGAACAAGTTAGCGAAATGGTACCATTCACAGGCATATTCCCATAGAATTGGCAGACAAGCATCAATTCTGTGTGTGGGTGTGTGTTTCTTTCTTTCTTTCCATTTTTTGTCTGGGAGGGGAATTTGAATTCTATAATTTGGAAAGATAAGTTTTATTAACGGAAACTTTTTTTTTCAATAAAAAGAAGGTTAAATTAAATAAAATTTTCAAGAATTTAAATAAACTAAGTACAAATAATCTCTTTAACTTCTAAAACTCAATAATAAACTCTCCTGAACTTTCAAATCTATGCAAATAACCCTAAACTGTTAAATTTGCACCCCGTAAACTTTACTTTTGTGTCCATATAACCTTTTCAAACTTTGAGTATTGTACAAATAAACTCCTTAAATTTTAAATCATTTACAAATAAATAATGAATAAAATCAATATGGTATGTGAATTATAATAGAAACCTTTTTTAAATGATAATTGAAAAACAAAATTCAAAAACAAAAGTACAAACCAACTTAACAAACCCTATTCTCCTTCATCACCATTCGCCTCAAAAACAAGAGGAGGAAGTTGATCAAAAATGTAAAAATTAGCATCACCTCCGTTTCAACATGACAAAACACAAGCTTCCAATCCCTGCTTATAATTAACCTAATATCATATCAACTAAATCTTTAAAGGGTAGCTATCATCACATCCTCTAGTCACAATATTAATAGCCTCTATACAGTCTGATAAAATATAGATCTTCCGAAGTACTCTAGACCAACATAGTATAAACATTTTAACAAGTGCAATTATTATGAAGACTATTTAAAAAATAAATAAATCAATACAAGAGACAAAGTAAATTATAATTTTATATTTAAAGTTAAATTAAGTCTCTAATTGATTTTTATATTTAGAACCGAAACAGTATCTACAAGAGGTTGTTTCCATTAAATGTGGTGATCGTGGTGGTAGGTTTCACCTTTCAACTACTCCTCAGGGTGCTTTGCTTTTTGTTTGCATGCAGCTTTAATTTGGCAATAAAATATATGGTGCTCTCTAAATAATTATAAATAAAATATGCATCTAGGTTGGAGTCCTTTGGAGGCTCGAAATCTTGTATCCATTACTTTTTTTTAATTTTTGTTAGTGTTATGCAAATCTAGATGCTTCTATATAGTGCTCTCTCTGTATATCATTTATTGTTATGTCTTCGTCAAGAATGACAACGAAACCTCAACCTCCCAGGCTTTCATATATTAATGAACACCAATGGGAGGCTTCCCTTCTGTTCAGGAATTTTTCTTTACATTTTTAGCCCGATTTAGCTAAGATTTCATTGAGAAAAAAAAAAAGTATATTAATGTTAGTCAATCTATTTATTTATTACATATTTAACTGCGCTAGGTTTTTAATTTTATATGTATTTTTAAATATTTAAGTAAAAGTAATTATTTTAAACTATATTTCACTAAATTGAATCCACTTTTTAATCATATTAATTATTTAATCATTATAAGCACTAGCTCAATTTTATATGTGTAAATGCACGCGGGACATGCATGCACTTCGAAGTTTTTTACAATTTTTCAAAATATTTTTCACTTTAATTTTTTTGAAAAAAATTAATTATATTTTTTATTATTTTTCGTTTCGTTAACATTATAATCCACTATATATAGCATTAATAGAGCATTGATAAATTTTATTATAATTTATGTCATAATTTGGCCGAAGAATATGCTTGGTCTTCTAAGTTTATCTCTTATTTCAATTTAGCTATTAATTTGAGTTTATAAGGTGTGTTTTTATTCCTTAAATCTTTGTATCATTAGTCTCACTTAAAAAATGTTAGACTTAACAAATTTACATTGTGACTCTGTAGTTCAAGCTGACTAAACATTCTTTAAATTTTAATTTTTTAACATATTCATTTTTATAAAATTAAACTACTGAAAATACAATTTTTAAACTTAAAAAAGTAAACTGAATCTTGATGTAAATTTAGGCAACCAAACACGTACCTCAGTCAGCTCATTAGTATTGTATTAATATGACAACTCATTGGTTGATATGTGCTTACTTTAATCACTCGTTAATTTTGTATTTAGTTAAACCTTGAAGTTGATAATTGGGAAAATGATTGACTTCTTCTCTCTTTGGATCCGACACTTAAAATATTTTGGATAGCCAAAAGATCACAGTTGAATATCTTTAGTTTCTAGATATTTTATGACTGCGAAATGATTATTATTATTATTATTATTATTATTATTATTATTATTATTATTATTATTATTATTATTATTATTATTATTATTATTCTTATTATTATTATTAATTTCTATTCAAACATAGTTAATTAGTCATTATCTCTGATCTTATCTTTCTTTCACAACAAGTCACGGAATATTCACAATCTCACACACACATCGAATTTATATAGTGTAATGTGAAGGGATTACTTCATTAGTAAGGATTATATATATAGATTCTTATAAAGGAATCAGATGAGAGAGTGAAACCAA